TTCTGGGAGTTGAAGTCCACAAGTCTTAAAGTTGCCAAATTTGAAGACCCCTGCTCTAAATGTTGCTGAAAAACTCCTAACATTCCTCATTGGTGGCCAATAACTCAGAATGCAATTTATCAACACTTGGAGAGTCTCTCTTTCTTCCACCCAGATTTATCAACTACTGCAACACCAATTTACTATGCTTATGGTAAGCATTCATTTTAGTTTGGAGAGAAGAGGTACTTGAATGTCTAGAAGTCAGACCAGTGATCCTCCAGAGATTTCATTTTATTTTTTTGTTTTCAAACAGAACACTTGTGTAATAATACAAGTGTTTTTGAAATGCCTCAGCGCAAACTTGTTCACTGGTTCCATCCCCAGAGAAGATAATTCAGGAATGTATCTGCTGAAATAGCCAAAGAGGTAAAAATATGCTAGAAATGCCAATGCTTGAACTATTTTTCTCAACAGAATTGTATATCATATTACAAAAATACGGTTTGCTTATTTGTGACACAGGACACTTGATGAAAACAGCCATGTGATTTGTAAATCATGATTTATGTCCCTGAGGTAATATATTAGCCCCATTGATTATGGTTCATTCAATAAACTATATTTAGTAAAATTGTAACTTAGTGCAAAGTGAGAATGCAGCCCATCATTCATTAGAATAAAAAGATACCTTATACATAGACATATTCAAAATCCACTAGACAAATATAAAGCAGCCCAAACCAATTCAAAGGGTTGTTGTTATTGAGGGGCAAATAGGAGAAGATATAAATTTTTTATAAATAAAAAATATGACTGGCTTAAAAACTTTTACTATCATTCTTGATATAATATCATACATGTTTTCCTATGGTTTGTTAGAAAAAAAATAAAGCCAAGGTCACTTTTGAAAACTATACTATATTCGGCTTATAATTGCTTTAAGTCTCTTTAACTATCTAACTGAAAGCAGTGGTGTTTGTGACCAAGCTACATTCAAAACATGACAAAATAAAGGGGGAGGAGGGATAGCGGTGTTATACAACTGTGGCAGGAAAGGTTGTAAAATGGAGGCCAAACTCATTTAACTGTCTTGCTTAGCAACGGAAAACATTGGGGTCATTTGTGGTCATAAGTCAAGGACAACCAGTCATTGGATTTTGTGTTATTTGAACAATGGGATTATTATGAAACAATCTCACTAGGAACAGAGGTTATTGTGACGACAGCTCTTTTCCTACTCATGCCTCCAA